AGAATCTGAACCATTATTTGTAATAAGTATTGGAAGATGAAAGCTCTTCCAAAACTATACTGCATTAAGTGCTTGGCTGATACAAGAAATTCCACGTGAGTCTCTTCCCAATCACCTTATTCATTATGTAGTACAACCTTATTAATTATTTATTGGAAGGTAATTTTACTTTTTGGTACAACTATGTTATAGAAAAAGTGGTATTTAACTAAAGGATAAAATAGTCATCCAGCTATTTCAGGTCATTTTGGTAATCCAACTTTGCACTTGTAAGCTTCCTACTTTTAGTATAACTAATAAAAATGTGGCCCATATGAACTATTGATTATAAAAATTTAAACAATCATATAAATATTATTAGAAATTGACTTATAAAAATATTTAAAATGTAAAAAATAAAATGCAAGTTTTTGAACAATGAGTAGTGTTTGTATTTAACTAACTCAATAAAGAAACAATTTTGAAGAATTTTTTTATAAAATTTAAGAAAGTAATTAGGTCGTATTAAGAAAGAGGAGAATATTAGTTCAATATGATACCTCAAAGTTTTTTGATACCAAATATTATAAACACCTTTAATTCGCAGAAGATTGTATATACTCATGATTATAGTAAGTAAGCTAAAAATTTGAAGACACGTCTTTTATTGAGATTTTTTTATTTTTAAAGGATAAAAACGTCATTCAGCTTTTAATGAGAATTTTGATGATTCAAATTAAATTTTTATATTGATCAGGCTTCTCATATTTATAACTGTAAAAATAAATGGACAATAAATAAATAATAGATAGTATTGTGGTCGAATACTCTGAAGAGGCAGCAAAATATTAAAAAGGAATTCTAAAAGGGAAATAGGGGAAAGAAAGTGATGCAGATGATCAGGATTAATGAACAAATTAGGATGAGAGTTGGATAGTATGTGTTCAAATACATTCTTACAAGGGGGCTCCAGCCTAAAAACAAAGAACTTTTTTTTTTCAAATTTAAAAGAAGTTCTTGGATGATGAGATAAATTTTCAAATTCAGATGAAAGTTCCCAGGTCAATAAAACTTTTTTTTCCAATATTATTGGCACTACTTAGAGGCCTCCAATTAATGAATTTTAACTTGAGATCTGGATGTACTAATCTACGTGGTTGAGATTTTACCGAATTACGTCTAAAATTCACAAAATCAACAAATTAGAATATCCAACTTTGGTTGAATGAGATCAACGATACAAAACATTAAAAACTGCCACATTCAAGAACACCTAAATGTATGCTAACTAACCAACCAAAGAATTTCTTTTCACTTCAAGTCTTTATACAAACATCAAACTCCAGCTAAAGTATCTTCAAACAAATCAAGTATTGAAAGAGGTGACATGATATATAAAATGTACAAACTTTGGCTCTCTAGATACGTATATTGTATGAGAAATATGAGAGAAACCAAGGAGGAAATATGGAAAACAGGAAAAAGGAACTTTCAAACTATTACTCTCTCCGTTTACTTTTACTTATCCAGTATTCTAAAAATAGATTTTTACTTTTACTTGGCACTTTTAGCATATCAAGAGTGGACAATTTCTTTTTTCTAGTTATACCCTAGTATTAAGTACTCATTTCAAGTTATTTTCTCAAATCCATCATAGTAAATTATGCACTTCATTTATTATTTTTTAAGGGGTGTGCAAAGTCCATAGTGGACAAGCAAAAGTGAACGCAGGGAGTAATTTGTACCTCTTGAATTTAATTTCTATGAATTGTACTTCCAAACGGCTCCATGAATGTGATTCTTGCTGGAATTTACATGTGTGCGTCATTCACAAGTCCTGATTTACATGGGATTCGAATGAAAAAATCTTTTTAATTGGGGGAGAGCAGAATTCATTTTCATTGATATCATTCGATCTAGCTTTGTTTTCTGCTTTCATTGTATGTTTCTAGGACAAAGCTCATAAGAATAAGAGGCCTCTAATGAAACTGTTAAAAAACATGGCCCATGTTCGGATGCACGTAGGCCGAAGCGGTATCACGTGACACCGCTTCGTCCGAAAGTTTTACTAAACATATTTATGACATATAGGATTGATGAAATATATATCACAACGGAAGCAATAACAGAATCTTATTCACGTGAAATCTAAACAACTAGCACGTATGGAGATTTTAGGATTACCTCTTGAAGCGTAAACTCAGCAAATCTATGTCGTTCTCCAGTTTCTCAGTTGAAAACACACCAGCAGCTTTCCACAGTCTTCTACTGTGTTATCCAAACAATAATTTAAAATAAAAAATTTTGAGTGGGCAAAATTCTAGTAGAAACCACAGTCAGAATTGTATCAAAAACGTCCAGCCCCTACATGTATATATATAGCTGCGTTTTTTAGGTCAAAAACCGTTTTCAAAACCTGTTAGGTTTCCTTCTCCCACTAAGGGACGGTTTCCACGTTTTCTTTCCCACTAAGTAATAGTTTCCACTATTTCCTATTATTTAGGCACAGTAGGGACCACAGAATTTAATTAACAAGGCTTCCGATTATAATATTAATTTCAAAATTCTGAAATTAATTTTCATCATAATAAATTATGAATTATTCCACTAAAAATTCGTAATTGCACTCCTTAGTTCAATTTTGAAATTATTCCATAAAATCTTATTTAACTCCCCAGGTTAAGATTCAGATACTAATCAATCAAATTAAATTACTGACTATTTAATTTATTGATTACTTCCTTTAGACTTACACTTAACTTATTTCATGTGTCGGATACAAAATCCACCGGCCGGGTTTACACATGAAAACTTATAAGCTTTCATAAAGGAGTATCATCAATCTCAAAATTGAGACATGGATTCCATCAACTAATTATTACTTCGCCAATGTATATCATTGTTATCCAATTTACCAGGCTTATTGACTCGCGAAAGAATCTCGCCTTTTAATAAATCAAAACAACAAGTGACATACACAGCTAATAATAATTATATCAGGATTAAGAGTATAAGTACATTAAATGGACTAGAGAAATTATTTTATAAAGTTGGTATAAAATACTCATCTCTACTTGATCCGTTCATTACATACAAAATGTACTAGCACAAGAAGTTGGAATTAAACCATTCCCATAATAATCAAGATAAATTATATTTAATCTTGTGCTACAATCATTCCGATGATTTGTCCAATTCCATCATTAGATTGTGAACATTAACTTTTATGTCTTACAAGGACCGATGATTTAATCTTCCGTGTATAAGCTAAACTCTATACACTAAATCATCTACTATGTAAGCAATGGATACACAAATCAATACATGATCTATTTAAAATGAAACTTATTGAATTTAAACAAGTAAATAAATAATTGTTCATAAAGAATACTATAACAATATGGATGGCTTATAGTACTTCTTTCACAGAATTTCTGTAGAATTTTGATAAGAGAGCGTGTCCTTTTCTTTGCTTGGCTGGTTCCTTCTGTCAACAGTGAATAAAGAAGCGGCATAAGCGCTTGCTCTCTTACCAGAGCGGCTAATACCTCCGCGCCACAGTTGATGCATAAATATAACAAAATGGCTACACAATACTCTTTTCCCGCTCGATCGAGATGTTATATTCTGTAATTGACTCAATACTACCGGTAATGCTGAAGCTTCTAATATTGCAAATGACCCTTCAGTTTTCTCTGCTAATGAAGCTAGAACTGCCAGTGCATCTGCGTTTAGTTCAACTTTGTCTGAGGAAGCTAAAAGATCAACTAGTGCTGGAACTGTTCCAGCTCCAAGTGCTCTCTCATGGTTCCTGTGACTCAGTAGTAACCCGAATATCGCAACAATGGCGTTCTTTTTCCCACAACTCGTTCCGTCTTTGATGAGTTCAACTAAAGCTGGAAAGACTTCTGGATTTTCTCCTATTGCCTTTCGGTATTCGCGGGGTGAAGATATGTAGAAAATTATGGCAGCTGCGATTTGCTTAGCTTCTACCTTTAACCCATCCTTAAGAACATGGATAATCAATTTCATGCCTCCATTTTCCATGATAACTTTCTTTCCATTAGAATGTTTTGATAGCTTGAGCAAAGCAAAAATTGAATTCTCTTGCATAATTGGATCATTTGTGTTAAGAATTTGTAACAGTGCTGGGATAGATGCAGCTTCAATTAAAACAGACCTATTAAAAATATTTGATTTTACCAACAACCGAATTTCACCACTACAAAAAAAACCCCAATTACCAACAAAAAAAATTGTTGGTAAACTGATCAAATTGGTTGGCAATTTGGGTTACTAACAGATTACCAACGGATATTGATCCGTTGCTAAAAGGCTCGATGGTAAATTTTACCAACCAATTTGAATTTGTTGGTAAAATTACTAACTAAAAATCAGTTAGTAAACACCAAATAAATTTGTTGGTAATTTTTGAATCTTGAGTCCATGATTTTCGTTGGTAAATTTACTAACCAAAATTTGGTTGAAAGTCGGTTAGTATCTTTACTAACAGATAGAAAATGAATTAGTAAAATTGGTTTTCATTATTTAAGTTGTGTTTGTAAATGGTTGGTAAATATAGTAACAAGAAAATTTTCAGTTTGTATTCCGTTAGCAACTATACTCGCTACCGAAAAATTGGTCTATGGTAACGCATGGAAAACCGTTCCAGTAGTTAGATAAACCGTTGCCGTAGCTATATTAAAACGGTTTGCAACCCGTCACATCAGCTAGCGTGCCAATAGAGCTATCGGGACGGTACATGGAACGGTTTTCATATTCGTCGCTATCTATTGCAACAGTTTTCCTTTTCTCTATTGGAACGATTATTCCTTCTAATTGGAACGATTTAAAACCGTTACTATAATGTATATGCAACGGCTCATTACCGTTCCCATAGATTGCAACGGTTCTGGTAGGCTATTGCAACAGTTCAGTTGAAACAAAAATACAAAAATATAGCCCCTGTAATAAATAAATATGTATATATAAAATAAATTATAACAACACTAAAATTTAAATAAATCATAAAATCAAATTTTTAATAATACAAATTATCCATCAAGCAAATAATATTCATATAAAGCAAATGTTCTACCCCTAATGCATAAGTTTCATACATTTCAAGAGAGTAATTAGTTTCAAAAAGGTTGATAACAAAAGATTCCTATAGAACATTCATCTATAGCCATTCAAAATTCATCTCAAGCAAGGTCTAGTTCTTCACTTTCATCTTCTTCGATTTCTTGATTTACTCCACCTACAAAAGAGGATAAATAAAGTCATTACTCTTCAAGGTAAACTAAGCCATAGCTTGAAAGAAAAACAAGTACATCACACTTTGGACAGAATTCAAGGCCACAGCTAAAATGTCCTTAACATCGTTTTCTTTTTTGTGGTGGAGGCTGCAATCAATAGTCATACACACCTATATCCTTCCACACTCGCTGGAACTCAATAAAAATGAGAGACAATAAGGACAAGTCACAACTAAGGGCAGATGCAAGCAAGATTCGCACAACATAAGAATTGGCCGAGTACAGGAGTTTGCTGGGCAATTGTGATACTATGATAGATTTTGAGCATCATGCTCAACTTCTAATTGCCTTAACAACAGTAAAGAACCCAACAATGATGAACAATAGTCATGACACACAGAATGAACAGGTACTTAGGATCGAGGCAGCAGTTATCAGATGGAAATTTGGATACATTTTGATGTAACAGGCCAAACACTTCATCAGTTACAGCAATTAGGACATACAAGAAACACAATCATGGAGAAATAAGCTAAATCATGTAAGCTTTATACAATGGAATATTAGACAACCCATAAGAAATGGTCAGAATGTCAACACCATCTGCAACAGCTTGGTCTATAGCAGCAACCAAATCAGAAGAAAAAGTTCCTTCTTCGAAGCTAAACTTATACACAGCTATCCTAGCTCGTGGCGCAATACCTCATGTTGTTCCAGGAGCATATCCAAAATATAAAGCTCCTTCAGCAAAAGTGCCAGCAGTTATGATAACATCATGGTAATGAATTGATGATAGCAGAAGAAAAGAGCAGACAGACAGAAGAGATTCAAGAAGCCATTCAGAATTGCTCCATTCAGAATTAGCAAAAGTACCACTAGCTATGATAAAATCAGACTAATGATATGAGTAACTCTAACTCAAACAGAGAGAGTAACTGACACAATAAAAAGGAGCACAAATGACAAGCAAAATAACCATTTTCATAATCTGAACACCATTCAGAATTGCATTCTTGAAAGAGGTCGAAGAAAGTGGTAGAAGAAGAAGTACAAGGAAAGAGGAGAAGATGAAATAGAAGAAGATGTATAATGTTTAGTAACTACTGACCTTGATTGGTACTACCGGCAGATGGTAGATTGTTTAGTTGAACAGCAACTTGTTGTGCATAGGAAGCTTCTACGAACCTTAGCATGTCAGCATCAAGTCACAATTCTGGGTTCAGACGCTGAAGTAGTGCGACGACGTTCATTGTAATATGTTGTTCCATAGCATCCTTTTGTTCGTTCAAATTTTCCAACATTCTTTGTTCCATCCTCTCTTCCATTTCCTCCATTTTCTGTTGCATCCTCTCATCAACAACATCAGAAACTTCAAAATGGTTATTCTTGACAGCCAAATGGAGAATTGTCTCTCCCTTTTGGTTATCATTTCAGTAGATTCAAGATTAAGTGAGACTATCTCATCAATGAAGTGGTGTTCTGCCTTCATTAACGCACTCAGTTGAAACTAACACAACTAACATTGGAAACTTCATACCTTGATATATTTTCACTTATCATCTTTTGTGTCAAGTTTCCTCCAATTACCGTTTGATTTTTTCTTCAATTCATGTATTTTCCAAATAAGATTAAATCTGATTTTTCATTTCAACCATACCATATATAATTTTCTTCAAAAAAAAATTTCCAACATCTACACTAGGACTTTGGTAATTTCATAGTTCTTATAAAGTCTGATCCTTCTAATTAGGATAGTCATTCTTGTAAAATCTCATTCCTTCTCTGTCTCTCCTTTTTCTGTATTTCTCTAACAACACATGATAGGGTGCTAGGGTCAAGGCCACTTTAGTTAGTAATTAGAGCAACAAAAACTCCATTTAGATTGGTTGTAGCAATACCAAGCACAGTTGGAGTTCCATTAACATTGCAAGTGACATTAGCAAGGACTCCAACAATGCCATTTCCTGGGAAGTTACCAGTTGTTGAACAAGCTAAGGTGCCACTCACTTGTATTCCAAGCACAGTTTGGCCATTTATGGTGAATGCATGGGCCGCGGGTAGGCTTGTAGCTATGACGATAAGTACTAGAGCTAAAAGAGAAGTGGTTGGAGAGGCCATGGAATTAAGCTTTTTGGGCTGGTATAAATGCTTCGGTTTTGTGTGTTCATAAGTTATAGTCAAGACTCCTATTTATAGGCAATTCATTTGCCACTGTGGGACCTAGCTAATAAAAGAATAAGAAAATAATGAAGACAAGTTGCAATGGAAAGGGCGACTGAAACCAAAAATGATTTTGGACAGTGGCAACTTGCAAAGCAAATTGCAATGAAATGAACCAATCTGATTGGTTAAAAGGTTGGCATGTTCTCCTATAAATAGGAGCTTATTTCTCTCATTCAGACACACCAAAAAAACGAGAGAGAAGCAGAAAGCTGAGAGAGTAATCCACAGATTGTAGTCTGTGAGATAAATAGTGAGTGAGAGTAATATTGTAGTGAGGAGTTTTAAATAAAGAGTGTTATTTTTTTCGAAGTTGTAGTAGTCTCTTGACACTACTAAGTTGTAATATTATAGTGGTAATATTGCTCTACTCGGGTATTGTATTTTACCCCGTTAAAATATTTTGGTGTCGTTGTTACTCTCTTGTGTTATTTTTATTTATCGTGGATATTATTCCTGGGCGGGAATATTATTATTACTTTTTATTTCTCCAACAACGTGGTATCAGAGCCATGGCAAATAATGGTCCGCTGTCTTTTCAGTACCCCCGTCTCACAAAAGATAATTATGAGAAATGGTGTCTACGCATGAAAGCCATTCTTGGCTCCCA